AAGAGCGTCAGGTAGGTCTGCAAATCTCTCTGGAGGCTCTCACCCTAATGGTTCTCTGCCAGGCTCCAGCAGGAGCCCAGGGGATGGGAGCAGACAGACCTCGGCCAGCAAGGTGCATCTTGATTTCATAATGCATTTACCTTATGAGGAGCAACCTGCCACAGTGATGGGAAGTCATCGTGGTATCTCCCAGAGACCCTTTATCTCTGAACCCTTTGTGCAATCCCCATTGTATCTACAGCCCAATAGAGCGACAGCCACAGCATGTTCTGTACAGGGGAAAACGGAAATTATTCTGGGAAACAGGAGGCTCCTTACCTCCCCTTCTCTCGTTTCCTAGATCTCTCATGTCATCCAGATGAGTGCTAGGTTTTCAACAAATAATAAATATTGTTGGGTGGATGGATGGGAAGATGGATGGATGGATGGATGGATGGATGGTTGGTTGGTTGGATGGTTGGATGGATGGGCGGATGGATGGGTGGGTGAGTGGATGGATGAATGGATGGATGGGTGGGTGGGTGGATGGATGAATGGATGGATGGGAGGATGGATGGTGGATGGATGGATGCTCTAGATGAGGTGGTGGATGTTTGGATGGAATGGAGCAAAGGGAAGGAAAGAGGGAAGGAGGGGTGATTGGATGGATGATCAGATAACTGGCCAGAAGCAGGTTCATTTCTCGGTGGGCCTCTTCTCTGCTGGGTGCAGAGAGTAACATTTACACCCCAGGCACATTACTAACATGGCACTATCAAGTATCACTTTTGAGTAAAATTTCTCAGATATGGTGCTTGTTACACAGCACAAGGGATTTTATTCTTTATCCTGAGGGTCCCTAGCTGTAGCTGCCTTCAGATCAAAGTGGTTTTAGAATTTAATGAGTGAAATCAGATCACCCTCTGGCAGTCTGTTTGATCACTGGCTGTAGACTGTTGAGTTTCTCCAGAGGTAGAGCAGGTCCATGGGTGTGCCGCGCCCCCCCCCCCCCCTGCCGATGCAGGGGACACGGGTTCGTGCCCTGGTCCTGGAAGATCCCACCTGACTCAGAGCGGCTAGGCCCGTGAGCCGTGGCTGCTGAGCCTGTGCATCCGGAGCCTGTGCTCCGCAACGGGAGAGGCCACAACAGCGAGAGGCCCCGTGACCGTGGCCCGTGTGTCTCCTCTGCTGAGCGCCAGCGTGCCTGTTGGGGAGGGAGCGGTTCTAGGCACGACACTCTGTGTCTGTGCCTCTCCGCCGGCCTCCGTCCTCCCGACTCTCCACCCGTCTCTCCGTGTGCGCACACACATCTCTCAGGCCTGCTCCTTCCCTTGCTTTCTCCTGTCCGTCACGCCCGCTGCCTCAGGGCCCCAGTGGGCTGCTGCATCTTCCCTTACACTCCCTGCGGTGACAGCTGCTTCCTGCCGTCCATCAGATGCCGCGTCTCGGCTCTCAGCTGTGAGGCCCATCCCTCCTGGGGCGACAGGCTCGCCGCTTCAGCTCCACGGCGCCTGTCCTCACACGCACTGGGCTCCTGTCCTCCCGCTGCCTCCTGGCATTTGGAGGTGCTCCTGGCCCGCGGCTCTGTGTGCTCAGCACCACCAGCTCATCGCGGGAGACAGAAAGCAAGGCTGTTGAGTGTGGCCATTAGGAGGCCAGCATGACTCCTGGCTGCATCACCTCCCAGCTGAGTGATCTGAGACCCCGCCCACCTCACCCCTCTTCCTCCGTCCCCTCCCCCGTAAACGGGGGTGTGGCAGCGCCTGCCTCACTGGAGGGTCAGATGAGCAAATGTGCATAAAGCAGCCAGCACGCGGCAAGCGCTCAATAAATGTCAGCCATTGCTGTTACTGTACTGACGACGATAGTGACGTTCTAGCCATTGGTGTCACGCCTGGGACCTCCGCGTGTCCCATGAAGCCTCACGTCCGCGCTCCCACCCTAGTGCTGCTTTTTCTCTCACAGTGAAAATGACGTCAAGCAGCTCTGGCTGCGGCTAAAGAAGGGCGAGCCTCACTTACTGTCCAACTTCGAGGATTTCCTGACCAGAACCTTCTCGCAGCTCCTAGAAGCCCACGACGAGAAGAGTGAGCTGGAGTGCGCCCTGAGAAGGTGGGTACCAGTCTCCGCCGCCCTCTGGACAGACGCGTGCAAACCAGACGCACCTCTTCTGTCTTATATTCGGTGATGCCCCCTTACGACCATCCGCCAGAGCGGGGGCCGGGCCTGCGGCTGTCCCCCGGTATCTATTTCTAAGGCCTCGCTCACATTTATTAGGCCCTCACCATGTGCCAGGCACGATCCTAAATTCCTACACAGCCCATTGCGACATTTATCATTATCCACAATTTACCAATGGGGAAGTCGAGGCACTGAAAGGGTAAGTAACACGCCCCCAGAACACACAGTGCGTAAGCGGCAGAGCCAGGACTCAGAGCAAGATGATCTGGTGCCCGAGACCCATTAGAAACCACTGTGTCTGCCTCGGGGCAGTAAGGCCCCGGCCTATGGGACCTACCCCCATCTCTGGACCAGCCCCCGGCCCTCCTGCCCTCTCACTACCGTCATGGTCTTAAGTTTCTCCTGCTGCCCTCCTGGCCCCAGGCTCCCTCCAGGTATTTAGCGCTTTCTAGAACTCCTCCGGTACTGGAGGACGTCGCCCCACCAAGCCCGAGTTGGCCAGGCCCCGGGCGCCGCAGGTGCGAGCCCGCCAGGTGGGTGTCCCTTGGCCTGCGGGGACGAGTGTGCCAGCGGGGCGCTGTGCTTGTCCACACTCATCAGCGAACATTACAGCGAGGAGCTCGATTTTGTGACCCACAGCATAACTCAGGACAGCTTACCGTCCTGAAGCCTCAGCCAGAATGCAGGCTGGGCAGGGGGCGAGCTGGGAAGCACCCTGGGGAGGTCCTCCCCAGGCCCCTTGTCCCACCCGGAGATTTGCTCGTGTTCCATAGGAATCCTCAGCGATTCCAACAGAGACCACAAGAAAGCACACAAGCCCCTAATTTAGAGAGAGATCACCACGTGTGCGGACCTCTGTCCACGCACCGCCCTGAGCTCCCTTTCATCTCATGCCTCTCCCCATCAACTCTAAAGTAACTTGTTGAGGCCCACTGGGTATACACAGGTCTGGGAGAGGACCTTTCGGACCCTGAATTATGAGAAATCATGGCCGTGTGGTGCTAGAGGGAACACGGTCGGGCTAGAGGAGTGTTCAGAGCGTTCTGGGGTGAGGCTTCCAGGGCTGGGAGAGAGAGGGGTTGAGGGTATACGCTGTAGAGCCTTTAGCTGAATAAGCTGTGAGTCAGAGCTGAGTCCGAATCTTGGTTCTGCTGCTTACTAGCTGTGTGACTTAGGCCAAGTTACTTAACCTCTCTGAGTTGCAGCTTCCTTATGTGTAAGATAGGGACGGTAATACCCGTCCCATAGACCTGTGAGGATTACATGTCAGCATTTAGAACAGTGTGGGCACTTAGTAAGTATTCGATGAATGTTAAAATAATAACATTTATTACTATTTTAAATGAGTATGTCTGTGAGTCTTGAAGGATTTGCCTGGCTGAAGTGGGGAGCTGGTGGTGAGGTATGAGGATCCCTTTATCCTTCCAGACAACACAGTGTAGAGCTTTGCTGTCGAAGTCTAGTCTATGGACCAGCAGCTTTGGAATCACCTGGAAGCTTCTCGGGAATGCAGAGCCTCAGGCCTCGCCCCAGGCGTATCGACTCTGTGTTTTAACAAGATGTCCAGGTGCCTCTTGTGTGGATGTGAGAAGCAGGCCCAGGGAATCAGGAGCTCTGGGTCAGAGTCGTGTGTGGCTCTCCAACCAGCTAGCTCTGTGACCTTGCTCTGGTCTCTTGGCCTCTCTGAGCCTCGATTTTCCCACGTGTAAAATGAGGCTTATTTTCTGCCCCTCACCACCCCCCTCTCTGAGTCCAGCACTGCTTACCCCAAGGAGCCACAGTGAAAGTCAGGGGCACCCCCAGAGGGGACGGCTCCCTTGTTTCATAAGGAGACGAGGGCCGGAATGGCTGCAGTGACCCAGCTCGGGGCCCAGAATCTTACCTGCAGGGGGCCCCTCTGCTGGCCTGAACCTCCGCTGGGAGAGACTTACTGCAGAGCCTCTTGGGCCATACGTCCATCTCTACGTGGCCTCCATTCGTGTTTTTGTTCCAATTCAATGATGGTTAAAAAGTTCTTGAGCTAAAAGTCAAGGTCACTCTCAGCTGCATGGTCGAAACTAGCTCAGCCAGGAGTTCTAGCCTTTTGTGCCCATCCTCCGTTCATATGCCTGCCAGCTACCCCTGCCCCAGGTCAGCTGATGGAGTCCACTCCGGCTGGGGGACTCGGGTGGGCTCGGGGGTCACTGAGCTCTCTGGCAGTTCTTTTCCCAGAGACCTGTAGCGAGCAGAGCACTGCAACAGGAGACAGGAGCAACCTGAGGTCCTGCCCAGGCACTGCCACTGACCAGCTGTGTGACCTCAGGCAATGTGCTTTACCTCCCTGTGCATCTGTTTCCTTACTGGCAACATTCGAGAACGGGATTGGTGTTGTTCAAACTTTCTGATTGTGACTGGCCAGAAGACACTTGCTTGACTTTGCAGCTCCCACACACTTGTGTGTGTGAATAACTGAGACAAAAGTTTCATGAAACGTGTTCACCCTCGTGACATGTGAGGGGCTCTGAGGTTTTCTCTTGGAGTCTCTTGTGTTCTCTTCTGTTAAAGAAAGAAAAAGGTTGTTCACATCTTGTTTCCGGGTTCTTCCTGGACCAGGGGAATCCCTGGAGGTCCTTGCAGCTTGGAAGTCAAAGAAAACACTGAAACCCCAATGGGATACAGAATAGTTAGATGGGAGGTTTTACAAATGGCTCAGCATGAGGCTAATTGATTCTGGGACATCTAGGAGGTGAGTTTGGGGGTTTGGGCTTGTTTGCAGGAGGGGCACACTCTGGCTGGTGAAGGGAGAGAAAGGAAGGTCTGGGGAATCGTTTGACTCGGGCTGCAGTCTGGGGAACCCTGACTGTCAAAGCATCTCCCAGGCTCCGCCACGAGCAGGCTGTTCAGTCCAGGGGCTAACACGTCACTCCATCTGGGAAATGAGCGCTTGTTCCAGAGAGGGCGACGAGACTTGACTGCTGTGTGCAGCCGAGGGCTGGGCACCAGGGTACAGTCGCGTGTGACTAGTAGCTGGCATGTAACGGGCACTTACTCTGTGCCAGGCTGAGCTGAGCCAACGGAGCACAGAGTCCCCGTCTTTGAGGAGTTTACGATCACACCAGTGAGGCAGAGCTGTAAAAATTCTGCCGCATAGCCGACCAGGAAGTCCCCGTGCTGTTGAAACACCTGACAGCGTGGCCATTGGCAGCAGTGGCGTCAGCTGCCTCCCCGTTTTCCGAACCACACACCTCGTTTCTCTGTCCCATGGGGCCCAGAGACTTGTGACCGACCTGCGGGGAGTCCTGGTCCCAGGTCCCCAGCCTAGCTGTGTCCCTCAGGGTTACAGTTTCACTGCAGTGAGTGAGAAAGCCCCCCCTACAGCATCCTCCAGGGTCACCTCCAGCCTCTAGGAGGAAGGATGCAGCGGGGGCAGTGCTTGGGCTTGACATCTTGAAGCTGATGTCCGGAGGCCCAGGCTCTAGGGCAGTGTCAGAAGCAACTCCAGGCCTTTCCTCCCGGCCGTGGATCTTATTTTCTGACCCTGCATGTCGGGAGCAGAGGAAAGAGGCAAGCCTGGGGGCCTTCAACCTCCCACCCTCTTGCCTTTGGGACAGAAGTTGAGAAAACCTCAGATCTGAGTTAGACTCTGGGTTCAGTGTTTGACACTGGTACGTGTCCACCGAGAAGCAGCCACGGCCCGGCGGGGTGAGGTGGGGGCCGGGTGGAATGCGGGGCCCTGGGCTGGTGCCCAGCTCGTCTGCGGCACCTCCAGAGTGGACTGCATTCCTTCCATTTCCCTCGGAGGAAGAGGGGGTCAGATTGCAACCGAGCCGCTTTTCTCTGTGTGCACCATGCAGAGGCTTGGCGAACCTTGCATTTTACCATGGGAGACATGGTTTGACGTGAGGAGGAACTTCTGGCCGTCAGAGCTACGAATTCCTTTGCCACTGAAAGCACCCTGCCCAATTATGTTGATCTGGAAAAAAAAAAAAACCTGAGCTCTCCAGATGTAGAACGATGCTGCCTGGAGGCAGCAGGAACTTCAGACCTTTCACCAGTAGGGGATGCTGGGGCCCTACTCCAGGAGGGCCCCGTTGCCTTGGTCTGGGGTGAGGGCTTCAAGTCTGCGCCGTATAAAATATCCCGAGGGATTCTGACTTTGGACCCGAGTTGGAATCCGCCAGAGGAGTTGCCCTGGTTGAGTTCCTTACCAAGATCTAACGTGGAGGATGGGGGTAAGAATGGACTGGGCCGTGTCTGGGGAGTGCTTTGAGCTCTTTGAAGAAAAGTGCTTTTGAGATCAAAGGCAGCCCTCTCAGTCTTCTGCAGCTCAGTAGCCTGTTCTGCATCCTCGGTGGACCACCCTTGGCCTTGACAAGTTTTGCGAAGCTCCCCACACCCTCAGGGGCATCAGTCCCTCCTCTGCACAGTCTGTCCTCCTCCAAATGATTCAGGCCTCGGGCAGTTTCTCGGGAGCGTGGGGGGTGGGGCTCTGGGAGGGCTTCGCTTGCAGCTCCCACCCAGCCACTATCCTGCTGCTTTCTGTCTAGACCAATTTCCCTCGGCTCTGCAAGGGTGTCCAGACCAGGAGGGAATGTGTCTCACAACCTGACAGGCAGCCCAACCGTGATCCTGGCACCTGACACAAGCCTGGGAACTGGTGTTCTGTGATGTGTGTGTGTGTGTGTGTGTGTGTGTGTGTGTGTGTGTGTGTGCGGGGAGGTCATCATTTCCTTGGCCTTGCTTCCAGGTAGGGCAGCAATTAAAGCATCGTACGTATGGCAGGTGGCCCTTATGTACCACTTGTGACGAGCTTTAGCTGTGTGGTTCTTGAATGTTAGCCTGTTTCAGAATGACCAGGGACTCTTGATTAGAGAGTAAATTCCCAGGTCCCTCCTCCAGGGGGTCTAAATCAGTGTGCTTTGGGGTCAGGGGACACAGCAATGTGCATCTTA